ACACACACACACACACCCAGCTGGTTCAGTAAGTTGTGATAAAATAAAAATAAATCTGTCACAGTATAAAATCAGTCCAATGTATTGATTGATAATCAATACTTATACTTATTTGGGATGATAACTGTGTTAAAGTGTCTGTTTTCTGGAGTCTGGTGAGAATGTTATTATTATATATGTTATAATATATATGTTATTAGTGGTTCCCAACCTGTGGGTCGGGACCCTGACGAAGGGTGGAAAACCTGGAAATTTAGAGACTAGTTTTCCAGGTTTGGAACAGAAATCCTGGAAATCATCAGTTTGGTCCCGGAACATTTTAATTGTTAGTTAGTGTTGTTCCTGAGTGTGGAGCCTGCAGGTAACCCCCTCTGATACCCATAATTCACCTGTGTTCTGTGAGTGCCTCGTTACCATGTTCAAGTCATTCATAATAAATTCAGCATTTCCTGTAATATTTAGTTTCAGCCGGCGATGTTCATCAACGTGCGCTAATACACCGGTGATTATACAGAGCTGAAATATAATATATATATATATATATAATATATATATATATAATATGTAAGACAGGAACTCTGGAGGAACCTTCACAATCTGGTTTCAGCTCAACGTCTTCTGTGGAAATAAACCTAATATTTTAGAGTTTCGGGTTTTTGATCGGACAGAACAGGACGTTTGAAGACATCACTGCCTTTAAGACACATTTTTACCATCCGCTGTTTAGATCTTGGTGCTTTTTAACTTTTATTTATTTATTTAAAGGGTTTTACTGCCAGCTAGCTACCAAGTTACATTCATGAAACGTCAGAAAAATAATCACAAATATGGAAACAAGAGTTGAAGAGATGTTTGCAGTCGTATAGTTTGATGTTTGTCGATTTATAGAAATAAAAACTATTAAACATATTTATTCACATTAAAAATGTAAAAACCTGCTCCTCCAAACAACAAACAACAAACAAACAACAAACAAACAACAAACAAACGAGCTAACATGAACACAAAGTGTGAAACAAAATGGCCGATCAGTGTCACTATCGGGCTACAAACAGTTAGCATAATGTTGAATAAGCTAACTGTATTTAATTATTATAACATCAAAAGGATCTGGTGTCAGTTTAACAGTTCATCCAGAATTGATCTGTTTTATTTAATTTGTGATTCAAATATTCAGTTTAAACAAAGATTATCTGAGTTATATTTTATAACACAGATTCAGTTTATTGTCGTATAAAACATTTAACAGAAAACCTTTAATTTAAGCTTGTTTGTTACATGGTAGCTTCTGTTTGTACACGAGAGAATAAACTAAACGCATATTATTAATGATATAATATTTCTTTCTTTGGAGCATATGTTTTATCTGATGGTTTGAGTTTCAAATTTCCTCTTTTATATCAACCACAGATGATTTATATCAGTATTATAGTACAGCTTCTCTTCTTCCTCACCGAACACCAACAGACATTACTGAAGGGCTCACTGTGTTATATAATTATTATTATATAATGAGTGTTTAATATATATTAAATATTATTATTATTGAGTTATTACTTAAAAAGACCTTTTTCTTGGTCCAACAGGGACATTTCTTCTTCTTTAAAGTATTAAAACAGAATGAATCTGGATTTAATCTTTGCATTCAGATTATAATAATTCAAATAATCAACATTTATTTACATGTTTATAATAATTATATTATATTATATTATATATAGTGTTTTTGTGTGATAACAAGTCTTTACACTTTATTTGGATGCATACTCAGGCTCATGATGATTAATAAACTGAGTTCATTGTTGAGTTTATGTGAATGAATGAATGAGTCTCTGTGATCGGTTTGTGGTGATTAGTGTGATATTGATCTGATGATCATGTGAGGTCATTAATGCTGCTGGAGGGTTGAACTCGAACCTTTAACATTAAATATCTGATAATGAGATCATTAAAGTTATAAATACAAACACTAACTGGTTAAATATGAGACTTTCATTAGAGGATTAATTAATAAACTCTGTAATAATCTGAGTTATTCCCATTACAGCACTTTGTGATATGATGGTAGAAATATTCAACTGTCAAGATTTTTATGTCCCACTGGCTACTTGATATAAATTATAACTTTTATTAACGTTATCCAGCCGACCATTTAACCTGAGGACTCTGTGTTGTGGACTCTGTGTTGGACTCTGTTGGACTCTGTGTTGGACTCTGTGTTGTGGACTCTGTTGTGGACTCTGTGTTGGACTCTGTGTTGTGGACTCTGTGTTG